CTCTCCCTGGACTTACAATTGGCGTAGTCAGCAGAATTCCTGTGAACCCGAAATCTGTCATAATAGGTGTGACCTTTTGGAGGGCTGCCCCTAGAAATGATGGGGAGAAGTGGTGCTCGCGCCGAGGGACATCTGTCTACACTCATGTGGTCATGGAGGTGCCACCACCACTGCTGGCCACGCTGACCCCGGCCCGTGGCCCGAGCCTAAGGCTACTGCTTCTGCCACTGCTGCTGCTCTTGCCGCTGGCCGGAGACTGGCCACAACTATGGAAAGGAGCAGAGGTCCGGGTCACCTTGATAGAGAAGCAACTGGCTGCTGTGTACGACGCCTTGCTGACTACGGAGCCCATCACCGGAACAGCTCTGACCAAGGTAATAACCTCCTATCCCATTGCAGGGTGGGTGTAAGACTGGACCCAAAGGCCACAGAGTGGCATGGCACAGACACCTCAAAAGACAATCGGTGGGCCCATCGGTGTGGCTTGTCTTTCACCTTTGAAGAAGTCAGCTGAGCCCAGAAGGAGTGCCCTGCACATTGTGCAGATCAGCAAACCACCAAGAGGGGCCTAGAGCATCTCTCTGCAGCCTATGGTCAGTTGCCGGTTACTGAGAGTGATTGAGGTACCCACTTTATTGGACATGTGTTGTATGGATGGATGCAGCAATTAGGAGTAATATGGACATGGCCCTGGACATTTGAACACATGGATCGGCGATGGCTGGCTCTTCTGGCACCTTGGGGAAAAGGCCTGGAAGCTGGCCTTCTGTGTATTCCTGTAATAACAGCAAATTGGCCCCAGACAATCATGGTTATTTGCTTCTACAGTCTTTGTGACCTGGATGCGCCCCCTGGCTGCAGCTGCCACGTGATGGCTGGAATGGACAAGCTTTGGACTTAATCTGCATGGGACTTTGAACCTAGCTGAATCCTCTGGCTTGAGAATTATGATTGTGTTGCTGTTGTCAAGAAAATAATGTTTAAAGAGAGGCTTGACTTTGTCTAATGTTTGGTAAAAGTTTTGTGAGCAGTCTAGCATGACTGTTAGGAATGAGTAAACAAGTGTAGAAATATATTTTGTGCTTAGTGAGAGATTGTGCTGTAAAGTACATTTACTTAATCTGCATAGGCTGAATCCTCTGGCTTGAGGATTATCAAGATTTTATTGCTGTTGCTATTGCATGTTACTAGATTGGTCGGAAGAGAGAGATCGAGTAAATTGTAAGGCGAGATTTCTGGAGGGGTGGATTTTGGGTAAAATTGTAGTATTTCCAGAATATCTCGCCTGGCTTTAGTATATTTGCATATCAACAGGCGTTCAGAGGTAGAAAGAAGTATGGCTTTAGTGCATTTGCATCTTCCCTCAGGGATGGAGAAGTGCATCTCCATATCAATGGGTGATTATCTGGGCAACAGAGGGCTTATTTGTACCTGAGAGGTGAGGGAGGGGGGGCCGGTGTGGTTGCTGCTTGAGCAGAGAAGAAAGAAGGCCTGGAACTGCAGTTTGTGAGCAATAAACAGGTTATAAACTTTATTTCTCCCTTTGACCGATTTTGGTTTTTAGAGGTATTTTGCCCCAGGAATTCCTCTCCCCGGACTTACACAGCCCAATACAATGAATGAAAAACCCTTAAACCAAACCACATCATTATGAAATTTCAGAATACCAGGGGAGTTTAAGAGAAGATCACACCATTTCAAATTGTAATCTGCATTCTCCACCTCTCCTTTCCCCTACACTGTTGACCTTCCCATCCCACACTGCTCTCCTTTTTTTCCTTTCAAATGTACTTAGTTATGCTGCAATTTCTAACATTTTGTATGATATATTACATTTGTTGTTTACCATCTGGAACAATTCCTACCTCTGTGAATTTAACTCTATAAAGATAGAAAGCTTGTATTTTTATTCACCCATATATTCAATGTATCTTGACCAGTGTCTGCCACATAAAAGATGCTTATTACATACTTAGTGAAGAAATATAAAAGTTTCAGGAGAGAAATCCAACGCAAAATATAAGATATACTCCCTATCCTAAACAAGTTTATGTGTTCATATGATGACCTATTTTAGGTGATATTTTTACTTGGTCATTTATGTACTCTCATATTTACAACAAAATGCTACAATATTTACAAAAAATGGTTCTTAAAAATGTCTTCATGATAAACAACAAAATTGGCAGCAACATGGGAGATTAACGAGAAAACCAACAAAACCAATAATGAGATTCCTAAAATGATTAAGGTGAGAGATGATGATGGCCTGAATTTAGACAGTGCAGAGTAGATGAAAGCATAGATGCAAAAGTGGATAAAGAATGGGGAAGTTCTGGAGAGTGAAAACAAGGGAGAAAGGTAGAATTACTGCCAGGTTTCCATCACTGGTGACTGGGTAGACAGGTACCACTGACTATAACAGGCAACATGAGGAGGAAGACTGAGGGAAAACATGAGCTCACATCTGGACTGTTCTTTGAAGTACACTGAGGACATCCTGGGGGAGATGTCCGATAGGCAGCTGAATATAAGGATCTGAAATGCAGGAGGGAAGTCTGAGATAGATAAAAAGATTTGGGAATTGGCAGCAAATAGCTGTTACTGGATGAGATCACCTAGGAAGAAAATTTCTTAAGACAGGAGCCTGACATCAAAGAACTAAAGATCACAATTGGTGTTCCTAAAGCCACTCCGGATAAAACTTTGCCCAGAGTCACATGTATGTACTTCCATAGAAAAACATCCAATATACAATGTTAAATGACAAAGAAAGATTCAGTTGGGAGATTAAAGTGGGAGCAAAGTAGGATAGGAAAAAAAAAAAAAAAAAAAAAAAGATTGCAAAACTTCATGCATAAAACAAACCCATTTTTACAAACAAGTCATTAAAATAGTGTTAGCAAAGGCATAGGAAAAATACAGAGGAGCAAACACCAAACTATTAATAATAGTATTTATCTGAGATTATGTGTCATATCTCCATTATGTGTCTCTATAGTATACTACTTTTTTTTACAAGTATATACTATTTTGCAAACAGGAAAACAAAGATAATTTTGTTCCTTTCCTAAAAAAAAATATAGCTTATGTATCCATATAACAACTATAATAAAAATCTGTTAGAAAACACTTGGACACCAGACTATAAACTGTCAAATATGAACTAGTAAGATTAAGAAAAAATGTTCAGTGAACGATTTCCACTATCAAAGTAATGCAAACTAAAACACCATTTGTTTGCCTACTAACAGAATTTTTTTTAATAGTAGAAGTACTCAATGTTGGTAAGGGTGTGATAAAGAGTGCATCTCAGAGCTGCTTATAGTAAGTAAACTGGCACACACTCAGGGAAAAAACGTGACAAATATGTATCAACAGACTAAAAAGGATTCCCAACCTCTAACAATTACCTTTGGAAATTGAAGAAAATAATTCCAAACAACTGAAAAAAAGCAAGGATACTTCACCAAACCACTAACTGAAACAATCTAAACGCCAATATTAGAACACAACAAATTATGCAGACATCAAAAGTAATGTTTATGTCTATCAACACTTAAAAAAAAAGTATATACTCTATGACCTAGCAATCTACTTTTAGGAATACACTAGCACTTGTGCACGAGAACACATCACAAAGAACTTTTAATGCTACATTTATAACAGTGTAAAACTGCAGAAGAACCTAACAGCTCATCAATACAAAAATGGTTAAATCAGTTTTCTCAAACTGTGTGGCCTGAGAGCACCTGAAAGACCATAAGAGCTTTCTAGGGGGTCTTTTAAGTCCTTCCTTTTCCAAATACCTATCTATGTAAGGCTGGATTTTCTTAATATGCTTCAGCCTAAACCAAATAGCACACCAGATTGGAGGGAAAAGCAAATATAAGAATCCAACTGTCTTATAAAGCCAGACATTAAGTGACCTGCAAAAAAGTAAAACAATGCCACCCTTCTCACTAAATTTTTTGAACTATAGTTATTTTCTAAAAATATTTACAGTATATAATGGGTTTATTATTTTTAATGGAAAAAATAATTTAAAGATTCTAAGTTTAATTGAAATATACTGCATTTGAAAAAACTCTTAATCTTCAATAATTTTTAAGTGTGTAAAGAGATCCTGAGACCTACTGGTTTAAATAAATCGTGATAACACCATATTATGTAACATTATGATTGGAGATGATAATCTAGTAGGATTTTAACATTATCTGAAATATAACTTTCAAAAGCTTTTTTGTTCATGTATTACTTGTGTTACCAAAAATAAGTTGTTTATGAAGTTTTTTAAAAACATGGGGAAATGCTTAACATACAATTTTAATCAAGAAATGCAGGCATTCCAACCATATATGAAAATCTCATCATCTTAAGGAAATGCCATAGAAACAACGACTCAAAAGTAAAAAGAATAGTAACTGCGGTGGATTACTTTTAAATGGTAGTAATTATTTTTCCTTATTATTTATTATATTAAAACATTTTTTGATACTAAGCATGCAGTTTAATATCCAGGGGAGGAAAAAAAAAGAAATTGGGTTAAAAAAATCATAGAGTTCTACTGGATCAAACCATTAAACTTTGCCAATTCAAAAGACAAGCTTAAAATAATAAATCAAGGAACCTAATGTGACAAATTGCCTATTTGGTTAAATAAAAAATATTAACGTACCCAATTTATGGACTGACTTCCATACTAGTCAAACTAACAACACTTAGTCTGCCATATAACAATCTGCAATCACGGTAGTACAAATAAGTTAACAGATAAAAAGTTAGGTCATCTGAGAATTTTCCAAAGGTACCAAAAAAAAGGTAGTGTTAAGGTATACTACTACCACATCCTTCTGGTCTAAAACAATGAGAAAAGGCATCGGTACAAGAATGGGCTTTGAAGGAGCACTCGGCAGCGGTGACAAATTCGTCTGCGGGGACCGAGTCCTTGCAGCGCTGAGGCTACCCCTGCGCGGTAACGACAGTCGCCTCCCGAAAGCGAAGCTTCCCCAGGCAGGACAGGCGACCCTAGGGGTGCTTCTGCCCCCACTCGCTGCGGCCAGCGGGGGCGCTCCCCTGGCCGCGCCGAGCCCTGGGGGCGCGGGTGGGTGGGAGCCTGCAAACGGCCGCCGACACTGCCCTCCCTGCCAGGTCCGACCGTCCAGGCTCCACAGAGGGTAAGGAGGTTTGAGGGCCGTGATTCCCCTGCAGGCTCATGAGTCTCGGAAAGGGAACAAGAAAGGGGCCCTGGCTCGGCCCTTGAGGCAGAGGAGGACCAGACCCGGCGCCCAGATCGGCGGGTCCAGCGGCCAACCCGCCTTCTCCCTGAGTGCAGCAGGGGTGAGGAGAGGCCAAGATGCCTAGTACTAGGGGCTCTTACCTCCCCACACCCCTGCAGAGTGCTCAAGGGACTCGATGCGCTGCGGCACTGAGGACTGACGAGCCACACCGGCTGGGAGTCCCAGGAGAGCAGGACCTCCGCTCAAGGTTTGTTTTCCCCACCGACCGGGGAGGAGCAGAAAGCGCAGGCGCAGAGGAGGCTTTCCTGGGGCTCACACGCCCAGTCCCTCCGCGTCCGCAGCCTTCGCCAGTCCCCGGCGCCTGCGCGCTGCTCCGCGGGGTTTGAGCCCCGGGCGCTGGGCTTCTTACCGGAAGTGCTTGAGCAGGTTCTGAGGTGCCAGGAGCTCGAAGATCGGCCTTGGCTTCCCACTAGACACCCGGGATCCGGAATCCAGAGGCGATCCGCGTCAGTGTCAGGCTTCCTTTGCCCTTCTTTGACCTAGACGTAGCTTACTCCGCCCCCCAGCCTCCTGCATCCACCGAGCAGCCACCGTGCCTCGGCGTGACACAGCCGCCTGCCTCGGCGTGACACAGCCGCCTGCCTCGGACACTTCCGCCTGCTCCGGACACTTCCGCTCGCTGAGCAGCTAACCCGGCCTGCTGCCCGCGCTGCTGTACTCTGGGAGAACCTCATTTTTTACTTCAGACTGGTTTCGCAACTCACCTGTCACCCCTATTGGTTTTGCAACTCGTCTCTCACTCCCGGCCGCAACGAAAATGCTCCCAACCCATCACAGAGCTTCAGGTCCTCCCTGCTGACTGACCATTCCCAACGGCTCTGCCTTTCTCCCTAGTTGCCTTAGTTCTGCTTTTCTAAGAGTGAAGACAAGAACAGCTGCCTCCCTTGTTCAAAAACAAATCTAACTAATCTGGAGAAATAAATGCCACTCGTGATGCTTATTTGTGCTTGTTGAGTTTTACTCTTTTTACCACAAATTTACTATAAATGAGGGAAGAAGTGACATCTGTAAGATCAGGCTTTCATTACAGACGGGGAAATGTATTCATCAGTTACCAGAAAGTTTTAGCAGCTCAAGACTCATACTGGTCTTTCAAAAATTTAAAGAGTTGTATCTGAGGAATATTTCAATCAGAAGTAATTTGTAGTGAAAGATTTGAGAAACAGGGTTCAAATCCGAACTTGACAATATACAGCTACAGTTTGTGATCCTCCAAAGATATTTAATCTTCATTATCTTTCTCTGATCTTGGTTTTCCTAAACTCTAACAAGAAATTGTGTGGTGTTAGTTTAACAGTGAAACTTTTATTGACTGCTTAAAATAATTTATTGAGCATTAGCTATGTGACACTGTTGGATGCTTTGCATACAGTATCTTATTTAATCCTAAATAAGATTAATTTTACAAAGTGCAATATGCATTTCCTCTAGTTTAGGTGTTGTTCACAGATAATTAAAATAGGGTTACTGCCCTTATGGAACTTCAGTCTACATCACACACTCATCTATATACAAGTGCATGTTTGGGATTTAAGTATTTGTGTAGTGCAGTGTGAGGACAAAGAATAGGAATAGAGAAGACCAAGACCTTAACTAGATAAATGAAAAATATATATATACATGAATGGTCAATTCACAAAATAGGAAATTTAAATGTCTACTACATACTTTATTAATGTTCCAGCTCATTAACAATGAAGGCAAAAAAGAGATAATTTCCCTGGATCTAATTAGTTTGCTTAAAATGTGAATAAAGTTCATTGGTGAGGGTAGAGTGAAATGATCACTCATAGCCTGTTTGGGATTAAAATTAAGACAAAGATTTTGGAAAGTCATTTATCAAATCAAATGTACACATAACTTAATTCAATAATTTCCCTTCTGGAAATTAAAAGGAAATATTCCAGAATACAAAGATATATATGGAATAACAATAAAGTAAACAAGGTATCAAAAACTCAAGCCATACCAATGCAATTGTACTTTGTATCACCTATTTATGTATGTTTCCTCTATGCAGTACATTATTCTAGGAGATGTAAGAATTATAAAGATAGATAATTGATGATTTTTGCCCTGAAGAAGTTCACAGTCCACTGTATCACTTTTTTTATTTACTAAGAAATACTTGAGAAGTTGCAGCAGACCTTTGTGCAGCTTCTTGGTCAATTAAATTTCCTGTGATTTCCTTTGCTGATTGAAATGAAAAAGAAATCTGCACATCAAATGTAGTGTCAAAATATTAATGAAAAAGAGTCCTTACAAATTTTGAGCAATAATTGCTGAAAATTTCCATGTGTCATCTGACTTCTAAAGATCCCTATCTATAACTAAATTGTTTCTGGACTTGAGAAAATCATCCCAATTGTAACATATTTGGCCAGTTTATTCCTTAGACTAACTAGTCATTGCTTGCATCATGAAGTTTTTATTATTTTGAAAAGTAACCAGAATCATGATGATGTTAAGAGGCTTAAATTCCAAAGTAACATGAACTTCCAAAGCTGTTCCCTTTTCATAAGTAATCTGGGTGGAGAAAATAAGAAGCAAACGAAAATAACTATCGCTATGATTCATTTGTTTCACGACTGGTCTTACACTACCTGGTTTTTTAGAACAAGGGATTCATTGTTGCAAAACGCAGAATATGACCAGGAACTGTTAGTTAACCATTGGTATTTAAATACAATATAACCGTGTTAAAAACATCATGTTAGGACTCCATAGCATCTTACTATGCTGATAGATAGTAACTGCAATGGTGTGGGGGATGGGGAGTGACAACTTGATAATGGGTGAATGTTGAAACCACAATGTTGCTGAAACCAAATTCATAAGATTGTATATCAATAATACTTTAATAAAAACACTCATGTTACATGGTAAATGGCTAAAACTCTTTTTTAAAAAAATTATTTACTGGTCCAGGGCCAATTAGGTCAGCTATTAGAGCAATGTCACTAATGAAGAAATTATTACAGTTTTAGTGACCATGAAAGCTAGTTTTAAAAAATGCATTGAAAAGGTTTGGAAGGAAATCCACTAAAATATGAACTGTGGTTATCTTTGGGAGGTGAAATTATGAGTGATTTCTTCCCCTCCTATTTTTCTGTATTTTCCAAGCTTTTTGTTTGTTTGTTTTTGTTTTGTACAACGAGAACATATTACTTTAACAATACAAAAAGAAAAGTGGGACATTTCCTTTTAAAAAGTATTGCTGAATTCATAATTGAATCAACTAATTACCTTACATTTATTATGAAATCTCTGCAAATAATTTATTACATGACTGTGAGTCCTGAAAGAGAAATAACCCCACAGGATGGATGAGCACTTGTATCTGGATATTGTTTTAGAGGTGACAACAAGGTACAGTCCCAAGGCTGAAGTATGATACAGCTTCAACACTATGACACAGATTCTCTTAGGAAGGAAGTCAGAATGCTTTGCCAAATATTTCCACTTCTGCTGTTTTCTGGGCATGATGTCAATGTACCTCCTGGCCTCCTCATAGCTGAATAGGCCATGTGACTGAATGAGCAAATGAACTGTAAGAAGTGACATGTGTCTTTCTAGAATGGAATTTTTACTCACCAGTATGAGATACTCCAAAGCCTACTTTCCCTCTGGTACTACCAGTAGGCAAGGCTTGGTAACCGTGGCTGTTCCATCAGTCTGAGTCCTTGAGAGATTCCAGTGAACAGAATATTTCTAGATAAGAAATAAACCTAGTTGTTATATGCCACTGAGATCTTAGGGGTGATGTGTTACTGCAGCACAGCTTAGCCTGTCATGGCAGATAAATTTTATTTTATGCCTGGAGTTTTGGGGTGGCTGTTCTGAATGATACACTTAGAAAAGACCTCAGTGAGGCTATCTGTGGCAGCATTGTTCCCTAATGTATTTTTCCTTCACAAGAAAAATTGCTCTATACTCATTATAATTTGCCAAATACATTTTGCTGTAAATGCATATACTTAACTCTACTACTTCTCAAAGTATAATGAAATTTTTTTTACACTTTTAAGTTTTTTATTATGAAAAAATGTCAATCACAGATGAAAGTGAAAAGAATTCTGTGCAATAAACTCAGCTTCAACATCAACAACTCCTGGTCACAAATCTTATTTTACCTATAAACTCACCCACTCTACTCCTCATCCCAAAACTAGATTCTTCTGAGACTACCTTATTTATTTTATCTTTCCATCTCTAAATTTTTCTATACATATATTTAAAAGATAACACTTTGCCAAGTAGAATGATAATGCAGTGAACTCCCTTTTACCCAATATTATCATCTAGCTTCAATATAGACAAATTTGTTTCATTTATACCTTAACCCACCCATATTATTTTGAAGCAAATCCCCTATGTCATATCATTTCATCCATAAATAAGTCAAGATATATTTATAAAATGAAACAACTCTTTATAAAAACATAACAATACCATTACACACCTGAAAATTTAACAGTAATTCTTAAATAATACCAAATATTTAGACACTGGTATTCATATTAGCAATTGTTTAATAAATGTTATAATTTTTAAATAGTTTGTGTGAATCAAAATCCAAATATCAACATATTGAGATTGGTTGATGTCTAATAATATTTCTTCTTTTTTGTTCCTCGCAATTTATTTTTTGAAAAAGCCACGTCTTTTGGTCTGTAGAATTTTCAGTATCTGAATCTTTCTGCACTTCCCTCCCCATAGTATTTTTTTTTATTTATTACTTTTACTTTGGTATCAATAATCTACAATTACATGAGGGGCATTATGTTTACTAGACACGCCCAACACCAAGTCCCCCCACATACCCCATTACAGTCTCTGTCCATCATCGTAGTAAGATGCTATAGAGTCACTACTTGTCTTCCCTGTGTTGTACAGCCCTCCCCGTGCCCCCCTTTCATTATACATGCTAATCATAATACCCCCTTTTCCCCTCCCACCCCTCCGCTTATTCCCTCCCTTTCTACCCATCTTCCCCAGTCTCTTTCCCTTTGGTAACTGTTAGTCCATTCTTCGGTTCTGTGAGCCTGCTACTGTTTTGTTCCTTCAGTTTGTTCTTATACTCCACAGATGAGTGAAATCATTTGATACTTGTCTTTCTCTGCCTGGCTTATTTCACTGAGCATTATACTCTCTAGCTCCATCCATGTTGTTGCAAATGGTAGGATTTGTTTTCTTCTTATGGCTGAGTAATATTCCATTGTGTATATGTACCACATATTCTTTATCCATTCATCTACTGATGGACACTTAGGTTGCTTCCATTTCTTGGCTATTTTAAATAGTGCTGTGATAAACATAGGGGTGCATCTGTCTCTTTCAAACTGAGCTCCTGCGTTCTAGGGTAAATTCCTAGGAGTGGAATTCCTGGGTCAAATGGTATTTCTATTTTGAGCTTTTTGAGGAACCTCCACATTGCTTTCCACAATGGTTGAACTAATTTACATTCCCACCAGCAGTGTAGGAGGGTTCCCCTTTCTCCACAACCTCGCCAACATTTGTTGTTTTTTTTTTTTTTGGATGGTGGCCATCCTTACTGGTGTGAGGTGATATCTCATTGTGGTATTCATTTGCATTTCTCTGATGACTAGTGATGTGGAGCATCTTTTCATGTGTCTGTTAGCCATCTGAATTCTTCTTTGGAGAACTGTCTGTTCAGTTCCTCTGATCATTTTTTTATTAGATTATTTGCTTTTTGTTTGTCGAGGTGCGTGAGCACTTTATATATTTTGGATGTCAACCCTTTATCAGATCTGTCATTTATGAATATATTCTCCAATATTGTAGGATGGCTTTTTGTTCTATTGGTGGTGTCCTTTGCTGTACAGAAGCCTTTCAGCTTGATATAGTCCCACTTGTTCATTTTTGCTTTTGTTTCCCTTACCTGGGGAGATATGTTCATGAAGAAGTTGATCATGTTTA